GCCAAAGCCTGGAGATGACACTCTGGGCAATTCCAAGTTCGTCTGATACTTCCAGTTGGTACGCCACATTCCAGACGGCCGATAATTCTACCACGTAAAAAATCATCCAAATGCTTCCTTTGTGTCATAACTATTCGGTTATTGCACTGAAATGCTTATAAAGCGCCTGCGAACAATTTTACTTCTTAGCCTGTATTCCTTATATATCACTCTCATACACTCTCGTCATTGTGACGTACCATCGGTGTAATCTCGTTACTTCCTGAAATTTGCATATGATTCTTTAAGATGTGCGTAGTGATTTTACAGGTGATATATTTATTTTAGAGTTCGATATCCGCGTGACTCCGAATTATCCTTAATTTATGGACATGAGTGTACGTTAAAAGATTTGAAAAATGTTACACTAACGCATTTATCTGAGCCAGGCATGTTAGAATATTTATCTAAACAAGAATTTTTAAAGCGTCTATCTAATTAGTACTTGAAAATATTTATTTAAATTTAAAGAAATATCTTTAAAAGTGTGAGAATGGAAAAAAGGAATTACTGAATCACAATATTGATACGAAATAAATTTCCTTGCAAAACTGCATGAATTGAAACAGTTGTTTACAAAATAAAACTAATTTTTATAAATAATTCTATCAGCTTGCTTGCCGTAATTACTCGATTCAAGCAGGGCTTTTCCTTGTTTCAAATTTTTTTTTCAAATTTTAAGCGGTGTCATTAATACTGTCATTATGAGTATTTTCCCCCTTTCTCGATTTTCTGGGTCATCTTATAATTAAATTATAACCATGTAAATAAGATCCAAATAACGTAGTAAAATTAAAGTTTCAAATAAAATTTATATTTATGAACCTTATTTTTTAATCCTAGTGCCTGTTTTTAATTTCTTGTACGAACCAAAGAATGTATTGCAATTGCGAAAAATTTCGAGTATCCTATTTCAACCAAAATGTCCACTTCAACTGTTCTCGAAACCATTTCAACGAAGTTTTTGCGTTACATCTGTACGTACGACCACGATAAAGGACTAATTTTGCCAAAAATTATTACAAACTGGATTTAAAATGGATTCAGAAGAGATTTTTTCTTACGTGCGTACAGACATCGAGAAAACAGATTACAGAAGAACAGTACGTAACCGATTACGAAATCCGATTACAAAAGAACATTATATAAAGAAAACAGTACGTACAGACATACTTTTGTACGTATGTATGTATCTCGCGTAACTCAAGAACGAGTAGACATAGAACTTTAAAATTTTGTACATGGGACTGCTATAACATTTAATTATGCATCTTCTGTTTTCGTTGCAATCAGCTGCACCAATCGTATATATATTATATATTCCTATTATGTTACCTGGCTCGGTGAGCTTAGCTTTTTTTATTCTTATATGTTGGTAAATTACGCACCTCATGCTTTAAAAATGATTGTATTACGTGTTTTTTTACGTTCCGGCTAAGGTTTTTATGCCTTTAGTTGATCTGCATTCAATAGTTGTAGAATTAACAGCAATTTAAAATTTTATGTGGGTAGTTAAGTCTAATGAACCGTCAGCCTTTGCATCTTCAATGTCCTTTTGCCGTAGGGTTCAAAAGTAAACTTTCAGTTTTGTGCACTAAAAAGTCTGCCTTCTTGCCAGCTGAACGACTTGCTTGTTTTTGTGTAGAAACTCTAATTGTATTTGTAATTTTTTTCTGTATTTGGGTTTCATATTTTTCTATATCTTATAATTTTTAATAAAGATGTTTTAAGTTTTATGTATTTTTACTTTGCCGCAAAATAAGAACCAAATTAATTGAATGAGAAATATGTCTTCAAGTTCAAGGAAGTATGTTTAAATCAAATGCAACAAATATGGAATATTAAATGTGTATAATTTAATAGGCCATACAAGGAAGCCATATGATGTCCACATCAGATGTTTACTGATTAAAAAGTATTTAAAGGTTTAAAACTGTGGCAACAATGTCTTTATTATTTCAATTTTTCTGTGTCTACTAGAATTATCTTAGAATACATAAGTTAAAAGGTTTTTTAGACAATCTTCATTTTTATGATTTCCTTTGAAACATTAGGGAAACCTCAACAAATACCTTGTAATCTTCCCTATGAACATCTTTCGCAAATTAGTTTAAGTATAAAAAAGTACGTTTTCCAAAGCCTTTTCCATAAACACGGTTTCGGAATCCGCAAATCCGTAGCAATGTAAGGAAAAAAATTCCTTTATACTACTTCTGCATATATTTTTCTTTTAGCATGGATTTTTTTAAATGCAAAATATTTCTTGTTAACCAAGATTATGCCTTGAACGTTTGAAGGTATTAGTTTGGTTTTAAAAGCTGCAAGAAAATTATTTGTAACTTATTTGATGCTTTTCTTTGTTATCTTATTAATGAGGATTACTGTTTTTGGTGCAATTAGTTTGTTTGTTCTGAGATTTTCAGGTAAGATAAATCATCTTTATGTTTGTTTTTCAACTAGTAAGACCTTTCACAACATTTTTTAAATATCAATAGAATTCAGCTAAGAATCTCGTAAGCAAAGAATAGGTACCAAAGAATGTCGTAAGTGTGTAGTATAACGAATGGAATAGTTTGTTTGTATGGCTTAACTAAAAGGTATCTGCTTATTTCCATTTGTTCAGTCATCACACAGTTTTTCTGTAAAGTTGAATTTAAAATTCTACTACTTTCAAAAGTACTTAATGCTTGTACACTTGTTAATCGATTTGCGCTATGAAGAAGCAAAATGTGGCGGTAATATAGCAACATCAATTATAATTAATACGTCTCATATTCAGTTTTAACAAACCATATGCGAAAAGCTAAAAAAAAAAAAAAAAAAAAAAAGGGAGGGGGGGGGAAGTAAAGAAGCCTAATGACAGATTGCATGATAAGTGCAAAAATACAAACACCAAAAATGAAAATGTAAAAATAAATTTGCATCTTAGTTTTCATCGTCAGTCAGGTGAGTAGTGCAATGAAATAAATAAATACATCAGCCAGTTTCTGAACCAGCAAAGACCCAAAGTTTAATACTGAAAGTATCCTCAGGAAATTAATCAAAGTATTTCGTTTATTTACCTGTATAATCCGTTACTTAGTTTGTTGCTAATAATTTCTTGATTGAATTTTTTACAAAATGTGCTAAAGTAATGTTGTCTTTGTCAATAATATTAAAAATGAATTAGTTTTTAAGCTTTTCTATATTTTTCTTAATTTTTTGTAGATAAAGTTAATGCTATTTGTATCACCGAATTGAAGTTTATAAATAATTATATTATTGTAAACAGGACGATTCCATTCTTCAAAGGGGCCGATAACCATATTTATAGCTGGTGCTAATAATAAATTGGTGAAGGTTGTGTTTAATTTTTAAGTCAAACATTCTTACTAGAACCGTATTAAATTCTGAACTTGGTGCCTAATTTAACAAATTGATTAAGGGGTCATACCTCCCTTAAAGGCTAAAATGTCGAGACAAATGAACCATTTCAAACTACTATATCTCAAAATATATAAACAGGATTTTTTTTTTCTTTTAACCGAAGACAAATGAAATATTATTCTATCTGAAAATGTGACTAAACATATAAAATACGAACAAAATATATTTATCGAATACTGAAAACTATACAACATTTTATGGCATCTTAAAATGCAATATCAGCTTGCGCGCAAGATTACTCTTAAATTACAGGCTTATTCAACATATTTTCACTTGTAATATATTTAGTATAGTCACATTATTTTTTTAACCTTTAAAATTTTAAATATATGTAAATTTTATATTTTTTAAAACCAGTTGTTTTATGTTATTGAAAATAGCACAGTTTATAGTACTTTGAGAACGCAGCAAAATAATAAAATATGTAACGATTAGTTTCCTTAGATGGTAGAAGGTTAACAAAATAGATGAACAAATATCATATCATTTTATGACACATGATATAAGATGGATAATGGGTGAAAACTTAACAATGGTAATGCTCCGTCATATACATTGCAGTTCCATGCGATGCTTCATGGAAAATATTGTCTAGGATATTCTGTTGGATTCCTATTCTCCATTCGTGTCTTCGGCAACTAGATTCCATGTCAGGATTCCGCGAGTCGCATTGCCGCACCACGCTGTAGAGAACCACGTCTAGTGGGATAGACTACAAGGACGATACCCAGGACGACACACAGACAGATTACCACATTATGACAACACTTAGACTTGACATTTACAGCAGAATTATATTATACTGCACTTTTTGTCTTCTTCAGTATTTATCAGACGTAAGAGGGGGATTCAAATTTTTCGAAAAAAAAACTCAATAAAACAATACAAAATTTTAAAATATAGTAAAAAAATAACTGAAAATTGATTCGTTTCTTTTTTTCCCAAGAAGCAGCATAAACCTTTCCAATACAGCCAATTTTCTGAATTATATATGAAGAATCATAAAACATAGTTCATAAAATAATGCAAAAGTAATTGGAAATAATAAATAAATTCAAAGTAATCCAAAAACCTGAGGGTCATTAAAATTGTTTTCGCAATATTTATAAAGAAAGCTGTTAAAATTAAGTTTAACAAATTTTTAAACATTTTAATAAATCATCAATCTTTTGTTTTGCAACAGCTTTCCAACACATTTATTATTTCTTGGGTTCAACATTTACTGAAACAATAATTTACCGAATTGCTTTAAATTTTCCCAATTTTTCTATAACTTCTGACGTCAAGAATTCTTTATTTTTTACTGTTTAGTTTGTGTACAGTATTATTTTTTGTACAGTTACGACGGAGGAGATTATAATTTCATAATTGATAAAAAATTGTCAATTTTTAATTTAAAATTAATTCTAATAACATTTTATTAATATTGTAAAAGCATTTTAATTCTCTTGCATTTTTGTTTTGTATTGTATTGAATTTGTTTATTTGCACTTAATTTTGAATTACTTCATGAATCTCTTTTTATATTCATTCAGATGTGACTGAGAAACACGGCTCTGTTGAAATTTTTCTGCTGTTCGTAGAAAACGACCAAAGAAGTTTCAAGTAATTATATTACATTATAATATTTTATGTTATTTTATTGATTTTTGTTTCAGTGTTAATTTGTGTTCTTTCTTTTAGCTAGTTCGCAACCATTTTTGATTTAATTATTATTTCTTGATTATTTAATTAATTTCGCAGCAAATGGCACGACTTTAATAATTAATAATTTGAAATTTGAAGTTTCTAAACTTTATTTTATTATATATATACATATATAAAATTTGAGGATATTATTATTTCAAGGAAACGTACAATGGGACTTTTAATTTCTTACCTTCTTTTAATTTTAATAATCTCAATCTTACCGATTTGTCTCTGTGCTATTTGGTCTGCAACACTGCTGAAATAGACAATTTTAAATCCATAATGTCTGTTTTGAAGTTACAAGTTTTATTATTTCAAGAGTAAACATATTTATCCAACGCACATAATTAATGAACCTATGTATTGACTCCTGAGTTTATTATTAGTGAAGGCGTAGTTGACCACCTTTGCCTTCACATTTTTAAAACTGTGTTAGGATTGATGAAAATAAACACACGAAATTTCTTCCATACAATATTTTTTTCATTGGTACAAATTTTAAAAACGAAGCCTTTGTAAAGGGTGTTGCAGCTGCCCTGCAATTTATGGAAGAGCATCTAACTCTTTTATAGCCTCTTACTCAGAGAGTCTGAGGTACTGTATACGTTCCTTATTAATTTAAGTGCTTTGCTTAGAAGATTTTCAGTCTCAAAGGGTACTTATAGTTCACGTGAGAGTCTATCAAATGATGGGGTAAAACGCTAGGTGTTTCGCTGATGAAGTAAGGTAGAACTTGAGATGAAAGCATTTATATTTCGCTGAAATATATCCTACTATTTACATCTCTTAATATGGAAATCAGCATACTATGTCCTGACTGTATTATGTGAAAAATAAAAAAAAATAACGAAGGAAACTACTACATAATATGAGCATAAACATTGATTGGCTGCAGTTCTTCACCAGTTCAGGTGTTTAGGTAAACATTGACTCTAAGCCTTTTTATAAGATCTTCTATATCCATAAAACAGCAGGAATTATATTTATTACTTTGAATAGTTGTCTTCGATGAATAGAGATCAAAGTGAACAGTAATGATTTTGGTTAAGAAAAACAGTGCATAAAAATTTTTTTATTTGTGTAGTGCTTTTCAAATGTACTGTACTGAAGTAAAAATTGTAAATTTTAAGATGCCAGAGGATTATATTTAATTTTTATTTGAAATTATTACACTAAATTTTTGTTCTTAATGGATTTTTTTGCTGTGCACTAATATGAGAGATACAAACGTTGTATGGAGCCAATAATCCTATATTTTAATTTATTTTCTACATTATCAACAAATATCCCATTAAATGCTTAAACATAAGCTACTGTGTATTATTACTATGTCTTCAAGAGATATTTTAACATAAATGGAAAACATTCCCATATTACAAAAATTGGAATTTTTTATATATAAATGTAGCAGTCCGAAGTTAAGCGTTGGAGGATATCCGCGAAAAGCGCATAAATTAGGTTCACGCAAGTCAGTGTATAACTTAAGTACAAATGAATATGGATTTTAGTTAGAATGAAGCACTTAAAAATACTTAGACGGACACTTATATGAATACATAAAACACTTAGACACAAATCAAGGACTTAAAACATTTAGACGAACAATGTGTACTGAAAAATGAAAGATAGCATAAAAATAAATGTGCTACTTAAAAATGAGTTATTTTAATGCTAATAGCTTCCTAAAATTAAAACAATACCCCTGCCGGCTCTATGTTTTCAGTATTACGTAAAATATTTTCATAGCAAGCTAATAAGTCTTTCATTCTTCACTTGGTATCTGCAACGCGTTTCTCATTTGAGGCCCCAAATTTTGTAGCCTTTCTCAACTGTGCCGAAAAATTGTAAATGTTACATGAATTATCATATGGATATGTCGAAGCCTTGCAGTTGTCTCTCAAAGTTGCAATTGTCATAAGGTTTTCCTAGTGAATCCGGATCTAAGATGTGGATAGACTTCCTCAGCAGCGTTTGCTTAGGCAGCTTTTATAAGCTCATCAGCTGTCAGATCTTTTCTATGCCCGTCTAACAAAGACTAACTATAATTCAATATTTGTAATATTGGGGGAGGGGATGTATTTTCCATTTCGAGTAGATGCTACCTGGAATGCATGAAACGCCGGCATTTTACAGGATACCTAAGCTCCTGAGTATTTTATAGAATACCTGTCGTTTTCCGGCAAACTATCTGAAATAAAAATATATATATATATACCTTTCCTAGGCATTGTATATAATACCTAGGCAATCTAAAACTAGTCAGTTGCTATTTAGGCAAAGAATGAGAAAAATTCATGATAAGGCTATTGTTTTCTGTTAGTTTCTAAAGCTACAGATGTTACTTTAAGAGCATACTGAAAAAGTGCCATTAAAAATTATATTCAAAACATAAAAGAAAAATAAAAGTTGCACAAAATAAAATGTATGCCTTTCTTATTAAAGAAAACAATGTATGAAAATGGACGAAATATATGGAATTAATGTACTAAATGCATGGAATGCATATTTGAATATATTAAATACATGAATAATACACTGGTTATCATTAATTAAGGAAATATCACGAAAATGTTGATTACTCAAAACGTTATATGTAGAATATAGGGAAACTTAACCACGGTATACAACACATAGTAAGGTACAAAATAACATGAAAAGAAATTACCATATAATTATGGTATTATAGAAATTAGCATATGTATAAATGAACAAATCAGTTGCGTCAGTTTAGTGTAGAAAATCACCTTCAGTATGGAGTTTGATTTCTCCTAGAAGCAACAGGTATGTATAGCGATCTGCGATGCTGTCAGTTATGCTGTCTATCAGTTCCGTAGGAAGTGAGAGCCAATGGCTCTTTCAAAGGAGATACAAAAGTGGCAAGGATCTGAAGAGGATAATTGAGGGTACTATATGTCTTCCTAAAGCATCCAAATATGCTCCATAGGATTCAGGTCTGGTGATCAAACTGGCCACTCCTTACACTGAAATGGCCGCTTCTGAATATAATCACTGAATATATATTGCTTCTGAATATATATTGTCGTCCTGTAGCAAAAAATCATCACCTATTGCCCCAGCATAAGGGCTCATATATGCATAAAGAACGTCATCTCTATAGGCCTGAACATTCAAGCTTCCACGTAGAAAGACATTGAGATCTGTGCTTCCACCCAAAAAGAAACCACCCAAAAACACAACATTTCCATGGATGTTTGATGGTTAATAAGATGTTCCAGGTTCTTTCCAAATCACATAACGCCTGTTGTCGCTTTGGAGGCTAAACCAGGACACATCCATAAAGAGAACAACCATCTGTTGATCAGCCGTCGAGTAGACATTTTGATGTACCCAGCTCAAATGTTCCCTTCTATGACGTGACATGAGCGGCTCGCAAATGGCTGGTCGCCTAGCGTACAGACCTCCTTCGTGAAGCCTTCTATGCACAGTTGATGTTAACACTAACTTTCTGGTGGCTGCAGCAAGGGATCATCTGATTTGAGACGGAGTTGAGGTTCCATTTCTTTGTGCACATAACAACAAATATTGGTCATCAGCGCACGTCGTAGGGATTGGTCGTCCTTGAATGAACCTCTTGAATGCCGTATGTGTGGTTAAAATTTGTTGTCTAACACTATGAACCACAGAAAGCCTCACATTTAGCCACCTTTCTACTTCTGTCTGATCTTTGTCCTCTCCCTAGTCTCTTAATAGCTCTCCATCGCAGTTCCTTGGCAAATAATGCATGGAGGTCATTGTTACAATTGGCTATCCCAGATTTCGTATCTGTCACTATCTCAGCGAAATTTACAGTCTTTCTCTTAAACCTGGAATTTTATTCTCCTCGCAAATGACGTATTCCGTTTGCACCGCCAGTAATTTTCATACTACAGTTTTACTCAGCAGCTCTTACTTTGTAAAGACATTAGTATTTTGATGCTGAGAGTCGTGAACAATTTAGTAATGCCCTCGCAAATTCTGGAAGCATGGACATCCCGAAATACACGCCGAGGGTACTGGCCATTACACCACGAAGGCATGCTAAGAAGGCAGAAGAAATACCTTATACATTTCCTCTTTTAAAGCGCGACTGAGAGTTAGGGGACCTAAGTCGTCTAATCCTGGTGGTGGAGAATCACCATCCCAACCTTTTTTAGTTCGGGTGCTACTGTAGAGACATTAGGATTTTTTATGCTGAGAGACGTGAAAAATGAGCAATGCCCTCTCCGGAACCCGAACCTCGGGCCTCTTGAAATACGCACCGAATGTGCTGGTCATTACACTACGACGGCATGCTAAGAAGGCGGGAAAATACGTTATATCTTGACAGCATAATTAAATTTTATACGGACTGGCTTATTTTTGGACTTATTATCGCTATCTTTGTGCTTTTCCTTTCATTTTTGGAAACCATTGTATGTGAATGTTTTAAATGTATCGATATTCGAAATGAGTCGGAGATATAGTTTATATTTTGCCAGTTTGTCATTTGGCGTTCTATATAATGCATTAGAAATTCATAAAAGTTAATCATTTCATGTACTGCTGGCCAATATATATCATTCTATAAAATGCCTAATTAATTTACAGAATACAGTCTTTCATACATTGTCTGTAACATAGGCAATTATTCAAAATTACGATTTTATATGTTATGAATTGTTTAAAAAATTAAAATGCACCAGAAAAATTATTTGTTTGTTAACTCAGGTGCTAAGCAATGATTCAGTTCAATATACGGAATTTAATTTCGTTAAAAGCAAAAAGCGAAAGCCGTGCAACATAATGTTTCTAAGCTGAAACATAATGTTTCAGCTTAGAAATGCTGGTAAATGTACTTTTTCTACGTAACACTTACAATTAATTGCTTACAATTTAGGTGCTAAGCAACGGTCCGACCCATGATTTTAAATTAAGTG